AACTATAGCATTAAGAGAAGAAAAAGAAATTGAAGGATTTAGAATAGTTAATGAGAAAACAAAACTGTTAATCTTTGCAGGTAATATGATGGTATATTTAGAGAATCCTAGAGAATAAAGCAAAAAAAAATAGTTGAAACAATTAACAACTTCAACAAAGTTGCAGAATACAAAATAAACCCACACAGATCATCAGCCTTTCTATATTTTATCAACAAAGACCAGCAGGAAGAAATAGAGAGATTCCATTTAAAATAACTGCAGACAATATAAAACACTTGAGAGTCTACCCGCCAAGACAAACCCAAGAACCATATAAACACAATTACAAAACACTTTTCACACAAATAGTCAGATTTAAACAATTAGAGCAATATGAATTACTCATAAGTAGTATGCCAGTATAATAAAAATGACAATTCTATGTAAATTAATTTACTTAGTGTCATAGCAATCAAGCCACCAAAAATTATTTTATAGAGCTAAAAACAACAATAACAAGATTTATCTGGAAGAACAAAAAGCAAAAATATCTAGGGAATTAGTGAAAATAAATGTGAAAGAAGGTAGCCTAGCAGTACAAAATCTCAAACTGTGTTACAAAGCAGTGATTATCAAACAATCTAGTGCTGTCTAAGAGATAGTGTGGTATATTAGTAGTATAGATTAGATATACAATACCCAGTAGTAAATGACCAAAGTAATCTAGTGTTTGATAAACTCAAAGATCCAAGGTTTTAGGACAAGAACTCACTCTTTGACAAAAATTTCTGGGAAAACTGGAAAGCAATTTGGCAGACACTAGGTCTAAAGCAACATTTCACATTGTATACCAAGATAAGGTAAAAATCTGTATGTGATTTAGACAGAAAGGTGATATTATAAGCAAATTAGGGGAGCAGGAAAATTTTATTTGTCAGATCTACAGATAAGGGAAGACTTTATGACAAAACAAAAGATAGCATTATGGGATGTAAAATGGATGATTTTGATATATTAAATTAATGTTTTTGCACAAACAAAACCAAGGGAGCCAAGATTAAGAGGAAAAAAGGAAACTGGCGGGAGGAGAATTACAGTATGTTTCTCTGATAAAGGCATCATTTTTCAAATATATAGAGAACTGAGTCAAATTTATACGAATATGAGTCATTCCCCAATTGATAAATGGTCAAAGGATATGAGCAGGAAGTTTTCAGAAGAAAAATTCCAAGCTATCTATAGTCATATAAAAAATGCTCTAAATCACTATTGATTAGAGAAATGTAGATTAAAACAATCCTGAGATATCACCACACACCTAGAAGATTGGGTAATATCACAAAAAAAGAAAATGATGAATGTTGGAGGGAGTGTGGAACAATTGGGGCACTAATGTACTGTTAGTGGACTTATGAACTGACACAACCATTCTGGAGAGCAAGATGGAATTATGCCCAAAGGGTAATCAGAACTGTGGATAACCTTTGATCCAGCAGTACCACTATTAGGTCTGTATCCCAAAAAGACAAAAGAAAAAAAAAGAAAAGGACCTATATGTGCAAAAATATTGGGGGGAGGAAGCTCTTTTTGTGGGGGCAAAGAATAAGAAATTGAGGGGATGCCCTTCAATTGGGGAATGATTGAATAAGTTGTATATGATTGTGATGGAATACTATTGTGCCATAAGAAATGATGAGCAGGATGGTTTCAGAAAAATAAAAACCTGGAAAGACTTATAGGATGCAAAGTGAGGTGAGCAGAGCTAGGAAAACATTGTACACAGTAACAGCAATATTGTACATTGATCAACTGCGAATGACTTAGTTATTCTGATCAATGATCCAAGACAATTCTAAAAAACTTATGATGAAAAATTCTATCTACCTCCAGAGAAAGAACTGATGGAGTCTGAATGCAGATTGAAGCATATTTTTTAAACTTTCTTTATTTTTCTTGGGGTTTTTTTGTCTGTGTTTTCTTTTGCAATATGGCTAATATGGAAATATATTTTTCATGACTTGACACGTATAATCTATATCAAATTGCCATCTCAAGGAGAGGGAAGAGGAGAGAGGGCAGGAGATAATTTGGAACCCAAAATTTTAAAAAAATGAATGTTAAAAAATTTTTGTACATGTAAATGACAAATAATTTAATGAAATAAATAAAACCTTATGGGGGAAAAATAAAGTCACACAGCTGACATCAGAACCAAGCTTAGAACCCAGTTGCAACAAGTTGTCTTTATCTCCTGAACTATTCCTTCCATTGTAGATACAAAGGAGACTTCAGAATTTTTAAACTCAGACATAAACTTAGATGTATACTGGCCTGAACTAATCATAATCTCTGGCCTCTGAACCTTTGTGTTTTGGCCAGCTCAGAAGTCAACTTTGAAATCTCTATTTCCCTAGAAGGAACCCATTTCTCCTGGGAATACAGTGAATAAAATATACCTTCCTCTGAACGAATGCCAAAATCCAGGCCAGGAGTAGGACATATGTGTGTATATGTATATATGTATATATGTATATATGTATATATGTATATGTAAGTATATATATGTATGTGTGTGTTTGAGTGTGTGTGTGTGTGTATGTGTGTGTGTGTGTATTTCCTGACCACCAGAAACTTTAGAACAGGGTTCACTGAGAAAACTTGATGAGAGTTTACTTGCACTGCAGACACCAAGAGTCACTGCTCTAAAAGAAACTCTCAAATTATCTCTAAATTACTTTAAGAAGCTGCTAGTGTCCAAATAACCAGTAAAGAGTAAGATATCCATTCTAGATTGTATGGGTACAGTTTCAGAATAGGAATGAGAGATAGATACTTCTAGAAGAGTGATATTGTAACTCTGTTGAAGTAGCTAAAATTTAATGAATTTTTAAAAAAAACCTTAAGTGCCTACTATGTGCCAACAGTGATGACCAAGAGTTTTGGTATGAGAAGTCACAGGCATGGTAAGCTGATCCATAAGGCAGATAATAGTAATATTTATTTCATTACTATGTGCAAAGAAAGAGGTAAAAATCTGGGTTTCTAGGAGTGGTGGCAGGACAATTGACAAGATGTGATCTGGGGCTGGCTAGACATAATGATTTGGGTGAATCTGAACTTGCTCACCAATCATGATAGCTCAACTCCAGGTTGGGAGTTCCCAAGCTAAATTGGAGCACTGACGTCTGGATGTCTGATTTAGGTTGTAGTGTACCTCATGGAAAGGAAAGGAAAGGTTTATAGTGGATAGTGTGTTTACACACTCTTTGTCTGTGACTCCGGACACTCCAGGCTCTGTGAAGTTCCGCAGCTTCAGTAGGTTCAGTACCACAGACAGTTCCTGTTTCTTCTGATTCTTAGGCCCGAGCAGTGCCAACTAGAATGCAGCGCCAGTCTTTGCCATACATGCACACATGAGGAATGTGCTGAGGGTGCTTATTTGTATAGTTTTATTTCCACTTCCTTCCTCCATTTTTCACTGTATTTGCATTAGTATTTGATTATATAAGCACCAATTGTGAATCAGTTTGTATGCCTCTTTTGAGTTTAGACTCTGAATCATTTTCTTCTCTTTGAAGCTGTTATGTTTCAACAAGATTCTTTCCCTTTCCTTTTTCATCCTTTTCTCCTCCATTTAACCAATTTTTTCAGTCCAGTTAGGACAGTTTCCTTTTTCATGTGTGGTCAAAAAATTGAGAGATGGAAAATGGGAATTTAAGGGACTTTATAGATTTGCACTATTTCACCTCGTTTTACAGATGAGAAAAGTGAATAACATAGTGGGGTGATCCCAAGGCATAAAATCAATAAATTGGGTGTATAGTCTGGTTTTGTTACTATAGGCTTTGCCATTTAACCTTTTGGGTCCTCAGATTATTTGTCTATAATGGGAGCAATAATACCTATCCTGCCTCCCTCACAAAACAGGATGTATGTATGAAAGTTCTTTAAACATCAAATGTTCATCCCTTTGTGCTGATGAAACAATAGTTTATGTAGAAAATCTTAGAGAATCAGCAAAGAAACTAATTGAGACAATAAATAGCTTTAATAAAGTAGCAAGACATAAAAGAAACTCACAAAACCAATAGCAGCTTTATATAGCAATAACAAACTCCAGAAGGAATTAGTAGGAAGAGAAGCCTCATTAAACATAACTACAAAGTGCACAAAAGATCAGGCATTTACTCTACCAATGGACATTCAAAACTTGTATAGATACAACTGCAAGATACTCTTTAAAGAAAATTTAAAAACCTTGAAAACTGGAGGGATATTCAATGCCCATGGATAGGCCACACCAATATAATAAAAATGATGACACTACCTAGATTAATTTACAGACTTAATGCTATAACAATCAACTACTAAGGGGATATTCATAGAGATGGAAAAATAATAATTGAATTCATTTGGACAAATAAAAGATCTAGAACTTCAATAATGTAAAAAATAGGAATGAAGGGGAAATAGCACTTCCTGACCTCATATTATACTAAAATGCAGTAATCATCAAAATTAATACGCAGTGCTTAAAAATAGAAAATGGTGAAATCTTAAAAATAGATTAGTGAAACAGACTAGACAAGAATGAGTCAGAATCAATAGAATTCATCAACCAAGTGTTTGGCAAACCAGGGAACATAAATTACTTGCAGAATTCCATATTTGATGAGAGTTGCTGGGAAAACTAGATTGCAGTTGGACAGAAATTAGTTTTAGACCAACACGTTACGACACATGCTGCAATAAGCAAAAAATGGATATGTGATCTGAATATTAAAAATCATACTTCTATTTAAAAAACTAGAAGAATATAGCAGAAGTATCATGTGAATGCAAGGTATTATTTGGAACTTTTTATTTTTTTCAGGTAGAACATTTTTTTTTCTGAGGCTCTAGGTCTCCTTTGTGCTCCTAGCAAAAGTCTGGCCCCTGCTCCTTGCACAATATTCTTCGAGAGGTAGCTGGAACACAGGATTTTGCTCCTGGTGACATGCCTTGTCTGGATTCTGCAGGCTGACACCTTCATCATAGAGGCTGCTGACCTGGGCATCATATATAAGATCAAACTCCGACATGACAACAGCAAGTGGTATGCTGATTGGTATGTGGAGAAAGTTGAAATCTGGAATGATACCAATGAGGATGAGTTCCTGTTCCTTTGTGGACGCTGGCTGTCCTTGAAGAAGGAGGATGGGCGCCTGGAACGACTATTTTATGAGAAGGTACTATGAGGATAGGAAGACAGACCCAAACTCAGGACTTTGTTGCCACACCACAACTGATTTTTCCACCCATGTTACATATTTCACACTCTGAGTGAGAAGCATGACCCCTTAGGATGGTAAAATCGTAGATTTGGAGTTAAAAGAAACCTTAGAAGTCATTTAGATTAAGGCTTTTCCTATCATTTTATATAAAAGGAGATTGAGACAAAATATGTTAAATCACTTGCTCAAGGTCACATTGGTGGTAAGTGGCAGAGGCAGATTTTGAACTCAATAGCTCTGATTCCAAATCTATCATCTTTCCTGTTGCACCATGGAGTTTAATGAGAATGTTCCTGAAGGCACTGTCCTCAGCCCTCTTCTTCCCTTCCTTGACAAATTTCATTCATTCCCATGGCTTTATCTCTCACCTATATGAAATTATCTCCAAAATCTATCTTTTTGTGCCTGACTTCTCTTCTGAGCTACAGACATGTATTTCCAGTTAGGACAACTCCAATTGTGTGTCTCACTAGCACCTGAAACTCATCATATCTCAAATTGAGCTCATTATCTTTCCAACAAAACCTGCATCTCCTTCTGACTTTACTATTTCTATCAATGAAAATTCATTCCTCTAATCTTGTATATTCACAACCTTGACATTACCTCTTATTTTTGTTCTGCTTTGCCTTGACATCTAATCAGTTTCCAATCCTGGTAATTTCTACCTCTTTAAATTCTCCCCTGTCTTATCCATTCCTTTCTATATCCATAATCATCACTCTAGTCTAAGCCCTCATTAGAACTTCTCTGGGCTATTGCAGCAGCTTGCTAACAGATCCTCCTTCTGTTTCTGATCCCTCAATCTTTTGATTCATCCTTCCCACCACTGCTAGGTGAATCCCCTTATTTATTAAACTAGGCGTGTCATTCTTCTGCTCAAAACCCACTCATCATTATCTACTTCTACAGGGTGATATAAGTGCTTTGCTCTGGTACTCAAGATATTCCACAATATGGCATTACCTTCCCTTTCCAATTGTACTTTTCATAACTTTACGGAATCATAGACACAAAGAATCTCAAGAGTTGGAAAAGACCTCAAGTTCCATCTAGTCCAACACATACTTGAACAAGAATCTCACTTAGAACATACATAACAAGTATTTTTCCTTAAAGATGTCTCATACAGGAGAACTCACTACCATCCACAGCAGTCAATTTTAATTTTGGATAGATCTAATCAGCTAGATGGCACCATAGTGCACAGAGCACCAGAACTGGAGTCAGGAAGACTCAACTTCCTGAGTTCAAATCTGACCTCAGATACTTAGTAGCTGTGTGACCTTGGGCAAATCACTTAACCCTATTGGCCTCAGTTTTCTCAGCTGTAAAATGAACTGGAGAATTAAATGACAAAGCATTCCAGTATCTTTGCCAAGACAACCCCAAATGGGGTCATAGAGAGTCAGACATGACTGAAAAATGACTGAACAAGCATTAAGAATTTTTTTTTTCTAAATCACACCTCAAGTTGCCTCTTTAACTCCCATTGTATTTCCCTATCTATGCACCATGCCCATTGCACCTCCTGTGTATACAATACTTCAGCCAAACTTGATGTTGTGCTATATCCTTCTATGTCCCATGCTATCCCATCACTCTCCCTTTGTTCACACTATTCTCCCTGCTTCCTTAAAGACTGATTATGTATCCTTTAAAGTCCAATTCAAATGTACTTTCATTCATGAAAACCTTTCTGATCTTCCTGGTCAGGAATCATCCTTAGACCTCACATCTCTTGAATATACTTATCAAATATTAATTGGTTATGTGGCTGTAATATATTACATCCCTCATTAGAGTGTAATCTATGGGAGGGGGATTTTGTTGTGCAATCATTTCAGTAATGTTCAACTTTTTGTGACCCCCTTTGGGATTTTCGTGGCAAAGATAACTAGAGTGGTTTGCCATTTCCTTCTCCATTTACAGGTTAAGTAACTTACTTGCCCAAGGTTACATAGATAGTAAATATCTTAGGGCAGATTTGAACTCAGGAAGATGAGTCTTCCTGACTCCAGGCTCAACACTCTATCCATTGTGCCACCTAGCTGCCTGAGGACAAGAATAGTGCCTCACTAACTTGTATCCCCTAATGCCTAGCACACTGCTATTTGTATAGTAGAGGCTTATTGTTTATCAAAATAGATAGGAGCAGGAAGAGCACAGGACTAGACATCAGAAGAACAGCTGTGTGAACTTAGGCAGGTCACTTCCCTTCTCTGAGCTTTGATTATCTTATTCGTAAAATGGAGAAGTTGGAATAATTTATCTCAAAGGTTATTCTATCTCTTGCATTCTGGGATTCTATAGAGGTGAAGAATATAGTCTGAGAAAGAATTCAAGAGTGACTGGAAAGACTTCTTTGCTTCCAAATATCTTCCCTACATAATAGATCTCTTAAAGCCTCTAAAATCTCCACTATGTGAACCTTATTTATTCGGATTAAGATATTATTAGTATTTTTTCCCTTCTCAGATTATATTGCATTTACTTATCTCTATACTTGTTTTATCCTCCAGAAGAACATAAGTTCCTTGAAGGGAGGGACTATTTCTGTCTCTTTGTCTTCCTCATCTAGTACTATGTCTTTTACATAATGACCCCTTTATAAATGTGAGTTAAATTGAATTGAAACCCCCATGGAAGAGGGTGACACCTTGAGGTGCTAAAGGTCATTCTGCACCTTGATGTAAAATATTTGTAAGATAATATTAACTCACAGTTATTTAGTGCTTTAGTTCACAAAGCACATTTTCCACAGCAACCTTATGAAGTAGGTAATATTAATTTTATTATTTCCATTTTACAAATGAGAAAAAGGAAGCTTGGTGATCACATTATTTGCCCATGATTGAATGACTAGGAAGAATCAGAGATTCTACTATACAGTAGGATTTTTAAACAGATAGCAACTGTGAGCCTGTCACTGAGGGAATAGGAGTTTTGATGTGGGGGAGGAAGAAGGAATAATGTAGGATAGGGATGTTCAGGGAAGAGGGAAAAGAAAGGAATGGCAGCAAACAGAAGCAGTGGAAAGAGGGAAATAGTGTAGTGGAAAAAGCCCTGACCAAGTTACAAAACCTGGCTTCAAGTACCTGGCTACAGGACTTGAATGCAGCTATTAATCTGAAATCTTGGGCAAGTCATTTCCCCTCCTCTGGGCTTGTTTCTCTTTCTATATAATGAAGAGGTTGGACTATTAAGAGTTTTTAACCTGGGATCCATGAACTTTAAAAATATGCATTTTGGAAGCAATTTAAATACAATTGGTTTCCTTTGTGATTCGATATATTTTATTTTATGCACTTAAAAAATCATTCTGAAAAGGGATTCACAGGCTTCATTTGACTGACAAAGATGTCAATGAGACAAAAAAAGATTAAGAATACCATGCCTAAATGATCTCTAAGGTCCTTTAGAGCTCTTAGTACTCTTTAAAGTACTGTAAACCCATACATCAACATTTTGCCATGTTTTGGTTTGGGGGTGATGGTGGGGAGCAGTGAGAGCAGGAAGCAGAACCCTTCTCCCTACAGCCATTGCCTTTCCAGCATCTCCCTTTGCCTTCCATTGGTGGAATGAGGAGGCGCCCATTGGTTGCTTCCCTGTCCCTAGGATTCTGATTCCTGGCTTCACAATTAACTTGCCCTACTCCAACCCCATCACCGCTGAATAGACAAATCAAAATAACCAAGCTCTAGCTCTTCGTACTTACCTAGGCAAATAACTTCAAGTCTATACAGAATTGTACCTAGGGTGGGTCGATGAGGGCTTTCCCCAGGTGTGCTGAATTTGGAGGGTGCTGACAGTACTTAGAATTGTTCAACAGCTAAATTAGCAAGAATAATTAGTTAAAATAGGAAACTACTGGATGGCAGGCTTGGGGAGCCCCTTCCATTCCCTGACCTGTTCCCCTCCACCAACAACAACTGATATCCTAGAATGTCTGTTTCTCCCCCTACCCCTACTCAACTGAGGACAACCTTCAAGCTGTTTGCCCAGGATACTCAAATGTCTTGTTTCATTTCTGCAACCAACTGTGAATCCCATCTCTAAAATGAGAGAAATGATTTTTGTTCCTCTTATCTCCCAGGGATGGATTGAAGATAAAATGAGCATCAAAAATGTGAAAGCCAAAGCTCAGGATCAGTGAAAATGATTGCATTATTTCCCAGGACTTCATGAGAAGTGGGAGAGTACTCCCTCTGATGAGGCAGATCCTTCATGCTTTATTAAATGACTTAATGTAATTTGATTTCATTTAATACAGTGAATGTGTTACTGAGCTACCCTACTCTGTCCCCATTCCTGGTGACTCTGGTCACCCCTGTGATGAACCCCTGATCGATCCTTAGAAGGCAATCTGTGGCCAGGTCTGTATTCAGAACTTTTCAGCTTGATGGGACCTGCTTGAGCTTAAAGTAAGGTCACTTCCCATGCAAAATTCAATTCAATGAGCACTTCTCAAGTACTTATGATATACCTAGTGTTTGGGGATGCAATGACCAAAATGAAACATATTTCTTGACCTCATGGAAATCCATTCTCAGGGCAGAGGGAGGAGGGAAAGCAACATGTCCACAGAAAAGCAAATGCAAAAGTTTGTAAATAAATACAAAATAATGGGGGATGCTCTAGCCACTTTGGAATCAGGATAGAGTTCATATGGAAGCAGAATGCATGATAATGTGTGGAGGATGCCATTACTTTAGAGGGGAAAAGGATTATTATTATTATTAGCATTAGTAATGATTATCTTGTGGTCTTGGAGGCTTTGGTTTGACCAAAACAAGGAGTCTACTGGCATCTAAGAAGCTGAATTTCCTCTCCTCTTTGACTTGTGATTTGTGATCTTCCTTGGGCACTCATGGTTCAGCACCACAGCAACAATATGGGTATTTTTAGGGCTGCAGCTGGTGTAGAAGTTGAGGTTATAAAAATAATAATTATGATAATAATGACATATTTGTATAATAATATATGCTTTTCAAAGTGCTTTCATGCTTCTCATATCATCCTAACAAAACCACTCTGAGTAAGGAAAGGTAGGTGGTGTCTCCATTTTACTGATGAAGAAATTGGGGTCCAGAAAAGTTAAGTGCTTTGACTAAGCTAACACCTGAATCCAGGGTCCATGATTCCAAATACAGTCCTCTTTCTACATAGAAAACCTCTGTCACCTGACCTCCATTAAACCATAAAGATAGGATTTATTTTACCATATTCTGCCACTTTACTATATTCTACTATCTCCGTGGTGACAGGCTTAATGTATGGAAATGGTCTGAGTCTCGGAGAGGATTGATCTTCAACTTCCCTCTATTTCTTCTGGTCAGGAATATGAAGGTGACCGAAGCAGCAACTGCAGCAGCCCTGCTGACTTCTGGGAGATGACTCTCAGTTCCAAGATGAGTGAAATCGATATAGATACTGTGACTGGCCCTCTGGTGAATTATGTTCAGGAAGGTCCATGTAAGACACTGTCTCTGGGGGGGAAGGGAAGCTGAGGGGAGGAGAAAGAACCTGTGAGAGGGGAAAGATGCTGGGGAAGGAGCAGGAAAAAATGGGAATTCAGTGCCTACCTAGTCAGTGCTGGTGCTGCCCACTGGATATGTGCTGAAAAGGGCTCTTTTCCAGCTAGGAAAATGGGGCTAGTGACTCACTGTCAGTAAAGAGCTGATTTGGAGTTGTTGCTCTATTTAATGAGCACTACGTTGCCTCACTTCGTCACAAAGAGCTCTAGACATTTCTGATCAATCAGTCATTCCATCAGCCATAACAACAATGGCTTGTATGTGCTTTTCAAAATGCTTTCATGTCCATTAGCTCATAGCGGGCAGTAGTGAAAAGAGGACTGAATTAAGCTTCTGGGGAATTGGGTTCTTATCCCTGGCTGTGCCTCAGACTGGCTGTGTGACCCCAGGTATCATGGGAACTCATTAGGCCTATGTTCTTTCATCTGAAAAATAAGAACACCATTAACAACAACAATACTAACAATAGCATTATGTGGATAGCGCTTTCCTATGAGGTAGATAATGCAAATTTTTTTTTGCCTAATTTACAGATAATTGGACTGAGGTTTCTAGAAGTTAAGTGACTTACCTACAGTCATATAGCTAGCTAAGTCTAATGTTCTTTTCACTATGTTAGGCTGCCTTTCTATACAAATGCCCACCTATTTCATATTATTATTGTATCAAATAAGATACCGGCCTATAAAAGCATTTTGAAAAACATAAAATTCTGTACCAGGGACTGGCAAACTATGGGCCAACACTTGCTTTTATATGCCCAGAGAGCCAAGAATGATTTGTATATTTTTAAATGCAATAAAACTTATTTTAAAATGTTAAAACGATTCTTGGCTCACAGGCTGTACAAAAACAAGTGCTGGGCCTTAGTTTCTGACTCCTATTCTATACCAATGAAAAAGATTATCTCCTTTTATCCTAATATTTATGGAGTCTTCTATCCTCTTCCCTAGATAACAAAATAGTCATTGACCAGGCAGGAAGGCAATTCCATCTTAGAGGCAGGGGATTGGACTAAATGACTTTCAGGGGTTATTGTCAGCTTTACAGCTATGAGAGTCTGTGTCCCCTCACCTGCTATTCACCATTCACAACCAGGCTCCTTGGCCATCTGTTGCAGTGATTCCTTACCATGTGACCATCACCACCGGTGAGCATAAGGATGCCGCCACTGATAGCCGTGCCTTCATCATCATTATTGGCGAGGATGATGAGGTGTCTAACCGCATCTGGCTGGATTACCCTGGGACGAAGAAGGGTTTCAGCTGTGGATCTGTGGAGAAGTTCTATGTCGTAGGCTTGGACGTAGGAAACATCAAGAAAATAGAGGTGCCAGCCCCTGGGGTCTGTTGGACTGAAACTCACAATGCCAGCACTTTACCAAGAGGGGTTTTCCACAGGGGCACTGAGGATGGGAGGGAACTGAAGGCAAAAGGAGTAAAGGAAAGGGGAATGTACCCTTAAGCCCCAGGACATAGCATGCATGGTGTGATGAAAGCCAGCCAGTCTTAGAATTAGGACCTCAGGCTTTAATCTCATTTCTAACTAACCCATTGCGTGATCTCAAGCAAGCTGTTTAGCATTTTAGTGTTCACATTCCTTATTTGCCCAATGGGAATAATGCTGGTACTTACCCCCCAGTGCTGACATCATAGCTTTGACCTATTTTTCCCTGTAAGGAGAACAGGTTTGCAATAAACCATCCATGCCCTTACTCATCATTCCTTCTGGCCAAAGATTCACATTTGCAAGATACCTGTGATGAAGGTAGAACCCATGTTTGGTGAAAATGTGCTCTGAATTGTTTCTCCCCTAGTGAGAGTTGGTCTGCTTTGGACATATCCACAATTTCACCTAGCCCCTTTGTAACCAAGCAATCTGGTGGTGCAGTAGTTACAGCGCCAGGCCTGGAGTCAGAAAGACTGCTCTTCATGAATTCAAATCCAGCTGCAGACACTTACTAGTTAAGTGAACCTGGACAAGTCATTTAACTCTGTTTGCCTTAGTTCTTCATCTGTAAAATGAGCTGAAGAAGGCAATGGCAAACCACTCCAATATCTTTGCCAAGAACACTCTAAGTAGGGTCAGAAAGAGAAGGACATGACTGAAAAATGACTCAACAACAACAGTTTGTGAAATAACCAGGTAGTTTAAACTCGTGGCCCATATTGGGATTGAACTCATAGATTCATAAGATGTTAGAGTTAGAAAGGGTTAATGATTATCCAGTTCAAGCGGAAGCCATGAGAGAGGCTAAGTGAGTAAGGCAGGATCATAAAGGTCATAAGTAACACAGCTGGAGTTTGAACCCAGGTTCTGTGACTTCATTCCAGTATTCGTTCTACTATACTAAAACACTGGCTTTGCTCCAGCCAAATGGGACAGATGATTCCTGTCAAAGAATGAAGTATCTAAACTAGAATTGAAAGCATTTAGAAAAGGAGTTTATTGAGTTATAAAAACTGTTATTATTACTATTCGTGCTTTTAAAAACCTATACACTTTAGTCAACAATAATTCATTAGTCAGTCAATCAGTCAGCAGGTATTATCAGGTATTGTACTAAGAGATACAAAGAAAGGCAAAAATATGCCCTGTCCCCAAGGAGTATACATTTTAATGGGGACGCAACATGTAAATAACTAGGCTGATACCAAATACATACCAAGTAGATGGAAGGTCATCTGAGATGGGGAGGCACTAGCAACTGGAGGGTCTGGGAAAAGCCTTCTGTAGAAGGAAGGACTGGAACTGAGTTTTGGAGAAGACCAAGGGAATCAAAAGATAGAGTAAAGGGGCAGAGTATTGCAGGCATAGGTTAAGACCAATGCAAGGGTGTGGAGATGGTAGTAGAATATTGTGTTCAGGAATTGCAAGTAGGCCAATATGTCTAGATCTTAGAACATGTAGAGGGGAGTGAAGTAAAAGAAGTCTGGAAAGTAAGAAGGGCTCAGGTTGTAAAGACCTTTTAATGCCAAACAGAGAAGTTTATAGCTAATCCTGGAGGTAATAGGAAGCCACTGGAGCTCACTGAGCAGGGAGGTGACAGTTAGATCTATGCTTGTTAAAAATCACCTTTGTAAGGAATGTATGCATTTATGTATACATGTTGAATAATAACGTTAACACGACAACAATAATAATAACAGCTAACACTTATTTAGGCTTTGAGGTTTGCAAAGTGCTTTCCATATATTATCTCAAACGTCACAGATCTGTTAGTGCACTACATTTTTTTTTACTGGGGTTAAAGCTGAGTGTGAATCAAGGAGGAATATGAGTCTCAACAAGTTCACATACAAATACTCCTTGAGTTGACTTTGTTTATTATTTTATTTTTTTTTTTACATTTTAAGTTCTGAACTGTTTCTCTCCATCCCTCCCTGCCCCACACTAGAGAAGGTCACCATTTGACACATTTATAAATATATGTAAAACCATACTATGCATACTTCTATTTATCAGAGATGGACAGCATCTTCCTTCATAGGTCCTTTGTGGATGATTTGAGTATTTACAATACTCAGAATAACTTAATCATTCACAGTTATTGTTTGAACAATACTGTTGTTGCTACATACAACATTCTCTTGTTTCTGCTTATTTCACTTTTCATTATTTCATGCAAGTCTTTCCATGTTTTTCTAAAATCAACAACTCAACATTTCTTACAGCACAGTAGTATTCCATCACAATCATATACCACAACTTGTTTTTAGCCATTCCTCCAATGAGATGATTTTGTTACAAAATGTCTCTTCCACACCTTCCCTGAAACCCCCACTACTTTTCATCAGTGGGTCATGTGAATAGTCAGTCTTGATTGATTCAAGGTAGATTAGACTTTTGAAGTTTGGTTTTACATTTTACCTATATTGCTTACTTAGCCAGAAAAAAGCTGCAAAATAACATGTTTTACCCTAATGTCTTTTAACACTTAAGGTATTTTGAAATTAGCTATTTCAAAAATTTTCATACTACTTATTTTTTTTTACAATTTTAGTTAGAATATTGGCAAAAGTAGTATCATAGGATATTATACCCGGAAGGAATATCAAAGTCTGATTGAAACGTCACATTTTACATATGGGAATACTGAGTTTTAGAGAGAAGAGGTGAGGTCATAGGTGCTTGAGGTCACAGCCAGAGAAGGAACCCTGATATTCTAGCTCCCGGTGCAGTGTTCATCCACTATTTCATGAAGCTTCCCTAAAATTAAGAGGTCATCTGGTCCAACCCTTCGCCTACTTTGGAGATCCCACAGCCCTCTTCTTCATTGTATTTGCTTCAGTACATCAGGAATCTGGGCTTTTTGTCAGCCTGAGCATTTCTTTCACCAATGAAGATTGCAGTATGTTTGCTCCAGGAGATGGTTTTCATGAATTGCTCTGAGCAAAAAAAAAAAAAAATAGAATGAAATAAAATAAAATAAAATTCTTCCCCAGTGGCCAGATTTCTGGTGATGAATCAGGGCTTCCCTGGGCTTCTGACTCTAAGGCCAGGGTTCTTTCTGCTATCCCAGGCTGCCTGGCCTTTCTGAGTAATCATTGGGGAGGTGAGATAATGGCCTTTATCTCCTTAATACAGTCTTATCTCTTCTCAACAAACTGCACATTTTATTTTTGTCGGATAAAATTTCCATTTCAGTCTTTAAATGTTTTCAAATTTCTCTATGAAACAAGTTTCTGAAGCAATGTTACATTAATAAAGTAGGCTGAAATGATAAAGAATTAGTTTAGCATAGATAGCTATTCTTTGGCTGTCTTTCCTTTTCCATCTAAACCTCCAATAATGCTCAATTAAGTAAAAAGAATACGATTTGACATGGGTGTTATTCTTGTCTCATCAGCTAAGTTATAATCCCCATGGAGACAGATACAGAACCACAGGTATTTTATGCTTCTGTTTGTCCCATGGCACCCCAGGATGAACCTGAGCATATAGGTAGTGTGCAAATTCACCAATGGTGGTTCGATTTACAATTCTGCTGCCAGAGTTATCAGTCCGCACTAAAACTGCCTTAATGGGTCTTGTCAACAGGCATTTGCCTATCAGTAGCATAAAATGCATGACAATCCTATTAGTAAATGTTTATTTAATCCCTTAGGTAAAATTTAATCCAATGAGTAAAATATAATTGAATTTTTATTTATTGATAAAAGAAAAACACTTATGAGTCTTGGGAATATATGTGTAAACAGAAGCTTGGTACATACATTTACTAGTTATTTTTCCATGCCATGAAATCAACTGTGAATAATAAACATTTTCCTGGAGTGGTGAGTAATGAGACACTTTTAAAATTAACTACTATAACAATAAGTCAGCTTTATGTAGCACTTAAAGAGTTTTAAGCCACTTTCTTTACTACAATCCTGTGAGAATAAGTATTATTGTTCCCATTTTACAGGTAAGGAAACTGAGCCACAGAAAGGGAAAGTAGTAATACAGCTAGAAAGTGTGGACTTGAATTTTGAACCCAGTCTCAGACTCAAAATCCATAGAAGGAACCCTAAGGTGCAGGCTAGCATGTTGTAAATAGCTGAAGAGCATTATCTCCTCCTGGGAATGATCTCCAAAATCTATACACATTGTCATCTTACAAATGAGAAAGCCAAAGCCCAGAGAAATTAATTGAATGGCTGAAGATCACACAGATAATATGTGGCAGAGCCAGCCAGGATTTGAACTCCAGTCCAGGGACTCCAAGATCAGCGCTCTTTCAACTGAATCATAGGGTCTAGGGAGAAGGAAACATGCAATAATAACAGTGCTGCTCAAACTGTGAGAACAAATAATTCTACTCACTTTCCTGCTTTTATAACATCTCCCCCTACTTTTTCATCCAGATTCCTGGGCCTGAAAGCCTGAGGCATTGAGCTCACACCCCTACCCCCTGATCTGCATTGGCAATCTGGGAGGGAGGAGCCTGGCTTCTTCCTAACTGTAAATCTCGTCCCAAGCTGTCACCCAGGAAGCCCATGCCTCAGTGTGGCTACCTTAGCACAGAAAGCTAATCTCTTCTGTGTGGAGTCTTTGTTCTTAATCTTCAGCAGCTGCGGAGGCATTGGCCCTGGATGATTTTCCTACCAGGAATTGTGCAGCTGATAATATGAGTAATGGCTCCAGGCAGGTCAGGAGTGGGGAGGGAGCCAAGGAAGTGGGATCTCTCCACCCCAATAGGGAGCTTATACAGCAGGAAATGACTTTGACCAGTGATGTTTATTTTATTTTTAAAATTAAACTTCCAATCGATGAAAATTTACCCTCTCTTCATCCCACTTGTTCCTTTCTCATTGAGAAAGAAAAACAAAGCCCTTATTACAAAC